GTTATAAATAATAAGTAGTTCATTTGTGTCCTTATTATTTTTTTTTAGATTCCACATATAAGTGATATCATATGGCATTTACACTTACTTGAGTTTTAAGCTAAGTTTTGACAAATATATATACCTGTGTAACCAAAGCCTAGTCAAGATATGGCACATTTTCCTCCGGGAAAGTTTCCTCATGCCACCTTCTTGCCAGAAGCAACAGCTGTCCTGATTTCTAACAACAAATGCTAACTGTTCATGAGACTCTTTTTATATAACTCTGCATCCCTTGAACTGCAATCAAAATTATACCCTAAAATGCAACCCATCCCCAAGATGTTATTAATTATTTACAATTATAAGGAAGGATTGGAATAAAACTATTTTGGGAAAAGAGGGAAGTGAGATTGCAAGGATCTTAAATATTTGGTTCCTGAACGGTATTTAGAAGCCCTACATTGCCATGTGTATACACACACACACACACACACACACACACACACACAAACACTTGGGAAATATGCCCAGTATGTGTAGCAGAGGGTGGCATTATCAAGCGGAAGAAAACAGTCTCCCCCATCCTATTTATCCAAATCATATTTAATAGCTCAATTCAAATCCATCTTCTCAAGAATATCTTTCCTTAGGCTGTAGTGATTTCTCTCTCCTCTGAATTTCTATCATAGATCTGGTAAATATTAATTTCATAGGTCATAAATTCAGGTGTACCTTTACTTTTGTAAACTACTTTAATTTTTATTTCAAGCCCCTATTCTGCTTAGCAGTAGAAAATTTATTCTTTACAATTTAAGGTAAACCCGGTCACTTCAGTGATAATTCAGGCATTTCAGGTTTATCCTTAATTCAGTGTTTTCTTCGCATTCTATCGGTTTATTACTTCCTGCCTTATAGCTTGTTTTGAACACCTTTTAAGTTTTTTATTGTTTAGGATATCTGTGACTATGAGTTAACTTTTCAGAGCCCTCTAGGTACATTTCATGTCCCCCACGGAGCTTCACTTGACCCTTTGCACATCAGCCAACACTTTGAAGCATAAACTAGATGATGGTCTTCACAATTTAACACGACTTGTGAATAGAAAAGTGAGATCACTGTATTTGAACTTATATTTTAAACCAAAATTGATGATAATGTAGTCAAAAGGACTTAATCATGGATTAGGAATCTAGAGCCCTGAGATCTTACTATAACTTGATGTATAACTTTCGGCAGGACAGTTAACCTCTTGGGACCTAAGTTCCCCCTGTAAATAAAGTTGATGTTGCGGGAGGGGAGGAGAAATTGGACTAGGTGATACCAAGGTGCTTTCCTGGTCTGAATTCTGTCCCTGGAAACATACCTTTAGCTTGTGAGATGAGCTTAGACGTCATTTATGGTACAAGGATTTCTATTCACTACTTTTTTTTATCTCCTTTACTCATTTGATTTTTTTAACTTTGTAAGTGAAAATTCAGTCAAATACAGAATCAATATTGGGGAACATTACTGGCCTGTCCTAAAGAAAATCATTTAAATAAATATATTCATTATATGTCCCCTTTCTAGTTTATTTGTTTGTTTGTCTGTTTTTCCCCTAGAAATAATGTCAAGTGGAGATGGTCAGCAATCACAGGCTCTTACCAAACCCACTTTCAGTGAGGTCCAAGCCTCTGCAATAGTGGAATCGGTATTTGGGTTAAAAGTTTCCAAGATCCAGCCACTTCCTAGCTATGATGACCAAAACTTTCATGTATACATTTCAAGAACCAAAGACACTACAGATGGCCCAAGTGAATGTGTCCTCAAAATAAACAACACCGAGTCTAGCAAAACTCCAGACCTGATTGAAGTGCAGAGTCACATCATGATGTTCCTGCGAGCGGCCGGATTTCCGACAGCCTCTGTGTATCGTACTAAAGGAGACCACATAACCTCTCTCACATCCGTAGGTAAGAGATCACCACCAGTCATCGCTCGTCCATGTACATTACTGCATTTTGGCCACAAGTACAAATATTAAGAACAGGTACGTTGTTCCAGGCGTAGACATGGTTGTTACTTCAGCAATTGGGTGAAGCCACAGCATCACCAAAGTAGAGACTGGCCCTCTGATTCAGAAGTGATTAGAGCCAGGATCTGGTGTAACTCTTCTGCCTAGAAAGGACCTGATGGATGAGTAACTAAGGGGATATGTGGAAATTAGGGGAACTTTTTTTTAAGCAAAAAAAAAAAAATTTTTTTTATTCATATGATCAGCTGTATATTTTGGTGCTATGATATAGTAGAAAGAACATAGAATCAGGAATTTTAGATCCCAGCTCTGTAATTACCATTATGTGTGACTTTGGGCACACAAATTCTTAAGGCTCTGAGCCCTCATCTGTGAAACTTGGTCCCTTTCGCTTCTAGATGCTAAGATGTACCTTCAAGCAGCAGTTTGTCCCAAAAGAAGCCTATGATTCTGAAACAGTCATTTCTTTATCACAGTTTCCTCAATTATCAACTTATGAAAAAAAATGTATTTTAGGCATTCACTCACCAGAGTAGGTAATTTATGTTCAGCGCTAAGGCCTGCAGAATTGAGGGCTTCAGTTTTGTTAGTATGTAAACGGCCAGTTCCAATGTTCTGAGTTCTGTCTGTTCCACCTGCTTGCTCGATCCGCTTGGCCCTGCCTCATGGAATCCTGCCAACTTGTCTTAGATCAGCATATTTTCTTCTCTTGCTCTGTCATTTCTATTATTCTTTGCAATAATAATTGCAAAGGCAGAACAGCCTCTAATCATTTTTTTTTAAAGAGGATATTTGACAGGAGATATTCTTTCATCCATCTAGACAGTGGCTCCGAAATCAAAAGCTACTTGGTGAGGCTGCTGACTTACCTCCCAGGAAGACCCATAGCTGAGATTCCCATCAGCTCCCAGCTGTTATATGAAATTGGAAGGCTAGCCGCCAAGTTGGATAAGACACTGGAGGTAAGATTTGGGGTTTTATTTTGTTTATAAGAATTTTTTATTTGTTTGATTTTGATATATTTTATTTTAAAAATGAACTCAGGCTCTCTTTTTATGTATGGTGGCTGTTAACGTGTGTTATGAAATCACCAGAGTCCTAGATACATGAATTTTATGATAGTAGGCTTCTTTCTGCCCAGGTCTTTACTTTACTGGTGTGTTGGCAAGATTACCTACATTTTTAGAAATTCATGATATTCTTTATGCTGCTCACTGAAATCTGTGAATCTGCATTCGCAGATTAAAACCTGACCTTTTCATCCAGATAAGGTGTAATCAGCAAGAGCTCTCTCTGAAGCAATAGCTGTGTTACAAATGGATTGAGATGACTTGTGTTAAGGATGTTTTTGTCCTATAGAAATGATATCATGTTTGACAAGTATTCTTCCAGACTTACCCATAAAGCATCTTCATTTACTGAACAAATGTTCACTGGCCACTTTTTCTATGCCAGGCACTGGGGGAAAAGTTAGGATTCCCCTGTCCTAGAGGAGTGTGTTTCAGGGAACAGATGGACACTTTAAAAAGTAGGCACAGTTTGTATGAGTGACAGTTTGCATGAGTAAAACACTTCCAGTCCCGCACTAAGTCCCGTCCAGTCTACCTCTCCAATGGCTATGATCCACCTCCTTCGTTCCATTCCTGCCTTGACTATCTCAGTTTACAACTGTAGCCTCCCTGCATTTATCCACCTCCCTGAGAGCGACAGGGGATAAGGTTGGAAACATACGGTGGAGTCAGATTGTAAAATATGTTACCATATATGACACTAAGAAGTTTGGACTTTATCTTATTTGCTTGGACAGTAGGGAGCCTTGGAGGGTTTTTAAATGGGAAAAATTTCTGATTTATAGCACTCTGAGGGCCAACATGCTGGACAGATGGGCAGAAAACCAGAATGGAGGCAGGGAGTGCATCCAGGAAGCCAATGCAGTAACCAGGTAAAAGCTGATTGAAGGCTTGAACCAAGAAAGGGTTCAAGGTACATTTAGAAGACAGAGCCAACCAGATACGGTAATTGATTTAATGTTAAGCCTGTGGGAGAGGAAAGGGCTGAGCAGGACATGGATTCTAACCCCATTCTAAAGTAGGCAGGGCTCTCCCTGAGTGGCAATCATGTGGTCGCCTCTATAGCCTGGGACAAAGGACTGGAGGGATGGGAAGGGGCGGGTGTTAGAGATGGGGTCTGGACAGTGTTGAGATCTGTGGACACTGAGGCTTCTTGCCAGACGGGAAAGCAGATCAGCCTCTACTCATTTCACCGGTGCCCCTTTGGAACCTGTTGGGGCAGCCTGTCTGCTCCCACTCCTTCATTCTGGCTGGCCACAGTGGCTTTTCTTAGTTTATTTCATGCCTCAGTTGATCAATGGATGACTAGGAGATTGCTATTGATACTCTGATCTTACTGTGAAGGAAACTAAGATCTACGATACTAAGAGATAGAGCCAGTTGAAACCCAGATCTGTCTGATTCCAAATCCACATCCCAAGTATTCTTCCCACTACTCCATCCAGGAGCAAGATGCCTGGGGTCACAGTGCCACCATTTTAGAAGCTGACTCAGAGCCTTCCCTGAGTAAACTGTTGCTCTGTTGGAAACCCAACAAGAGCATTATGTTTTGCATTCTTTAAAAATAAAAGTAATATATGCACAGGGCAAAAATTTCAAGCAGTACTGAAAGGTGTAAAATGAACCTTTTTCACTCCATCATCATCTTCATTCTTAGATTCTTTTCAGTCCTGCTCCCCACGAGTCACAACTCCTAACAGTGTCTTCATGCTGACTCTGCAGAGTGTTGTGATCCACGGTGATGTTTAACACACCCGATGATCAGGAGATTCAAAACCATGTCGTGGGAGGAATAATTGAAGGAGCTAGAAAGGTTTACACTGCAGAGGAGAAGACTCTGACAGGGCAGGAGTGCTGTCTTCAAACATCTGGAGGACACTCATGTGGGAGAGGTCTCATCCTGCTCCCTATGGCCCCAGAGGTCACAGTTGGAACCCGTGGCATGGACACTATGGTAGAGGCGGGTTTTAGCTCATCAAAAGGAAGAACACAAAGCCGGCTCAATAAGGCTAAAAAGCACCTCCCTCAGGAAGTATTCAAACAGAGGCTACATGACCACTTAGCAAGAACATGATAATGGGAACAGGAGCATCAGGGGAGTGTTTTCAAACTCCAGGTCATGAGAATGAGTGTTAAAATCAATTTAGAGGAGCATTTTTAAAGAAACAGAATAAAATGCAAAATACCAGAGTGCATTACATGGAAGGTCCTAAGTACTGTTACTGAAACCTTTTTCCCTAGGTGCGTGTTGCCTGGATACGGGGGGGGGGTTGTCACTTATACATGTTTCTGATTGCAAGTCGGAGTCAGAAAAAATTGACAGCTGCTCCACTGGGTGAGCACCAAGGCACCTTCTAGAACTTACTTTGCGAAAGAGGTCTGGACTGAGTCCCTCAGACCCATAGTTACAACTTGTCATCCTTTGAAATCTTCCCCATTTGTGCAGGGATGGTCAAAGTCATTCAGAACTTTAGATAGAGTGGTCAATGCCTAGAGAGGCCTTTACAATTCTGGAATTTTCTATGCTAAGAACATTTATTTATTCAGCAAATACTGCTCCAGCAGTGCCTTCTCTGTGCCAGACAGTGTTGTAGATGTGGGGATACAGTCGGGAGCAAAACAGACCAGATGCAAGCTCCTGCCCCTCGTGGGGCTGACGTTCTAGTGAGGATAGACAGCTGGGTGGGCAGGCGAATCCCGGCGAAGGTCAGACAGCGATCCGTGCTGAGTGCTTCAGAAGGAAACAGAAGCAGGGAGGAAGGGTACGAAGTATTGGAGAGAGTGCTGAAATTTTAGGTGGACGGCTCAGAGTCCTCCCCATCCTGAAAAGGTGACTTTTGAGTAAAGACCTGCTGGAAATGAGGGCACCAGCCACGTGGATTCCTGGATTCACCAGGAGGAACCAGCAAATGCCAAAGGGATGGGTTCCTTGAACAGCAGGGAGGCCAGTGTCGGTGTGGTTGGAAGAAAGTCATAAAAGTAAAAGATGACGTCAGAGAGGAAACAGGGGGCCCGGGGCAGAGTTCTTTAGAGCTGCCTCCAATCCCTTTGGTAGGCTGTGGTTAGCAATACCGATCTTCACCCAGTTGTGAGGACTGAGCAAGATGGAAATGCGCTCTCAAAACTATGAGATCGGTGGAACTATGATGTCATTACCACTCTGTGGATTAATGAAAATGAAGCAAGTCAGTAACCATGAGCGAACACCAGCTCCCTCCCTAAGGCACACCCAGCCTGTACTAGCACCCAGCAGATCTCTCAGCAGAGGTCACGCCAACGGTCTAGAGTCTAAGAGTTTCTTTGCTTTTTTTGGCTGGGGAAAGGGAGTAGATTATCATGTTTGTTTGTTTACTTATTTATTTAACAGTGGTAATGGGGATTGAACCCAGGGCCTCATGCATGCTAGGCAGGAGCTCTACCGCTGAGCTATACCCACCCCCGCCTTTGCTTTTGATTTAGAATTTCCATCACCCACAGTTAAGTAGTCTTCATCGGGAGAACTTCATCTGGAATCTGAAAAACGTTCCTCTTCTGGAGAAATACCTGTATGCTTTGGGCCAGAATCGGAAGCGGGAGATCGTCGAACAGGTCATTCAGCTGTTCAAGGATGAAGTGATGACCAAATTAAGTCATTTTCGAGAATGTGAGTAGCCCCCCGACCAAATAAGTTTTTTTCTTGATTTTTAAGTTGTCAAACTTCAAACCATCAGAGACGTATGGAGGTACAGCTTAGTTTTATCAAACCTTAAAACTTTGCCTTATTTGCTCCCGTTGCTTTTTAAAAAAAATACTTTCACTTTCCTTAGAATCACTACATTTGAAGCTCCCTCTAAACTTTACATGATCCCACCTCTCCCCTCCCTACTAAATTTGCATACATGTTTTAATATCACTACATATGTATGTGTATATAAATGACCTATAGCAGCATTTTGCATATTTTCAAACTTTAGATAAGTGGTATCATGCTGTATGTTACCATTCTGCAAACATTCTATTCTTCAGATTGAACCATTTAATGTATGGAGTTCTAGTTCACTTCGTTCACTAGTTTCAACTGCCGAATAATATTCCATAGTATATATACTCTGTAATTTATTTGAATGTACTGTAAATTTTTTTTGCCTATTCTCTTGTTAATGGAATTTTAGTTTGGTTCCCTTTCTTTGTTTTTCCTACAAAAATGATGCTGCAGAGAGCACACTAGGGCATATCTCCTTATGTACATGGACAGCAGTTTCTTTAGGGCGTAATGAGCCTTTTGACCCAGCATGAAACACTGGTCAAAGGGCGAGGAACTGAGGGGCATTTCTAGCAAAGCCTAGGATAGACAGTGTGTGTCCTCTTTGCCCTGTGCTTTCTGTGTCAGTCAGCTTGGGCTGCCATGAAAAAATACCGAGGACTGGGTGGCGTAAAGAACAGAAACGTATTTCTCATAGTTCTGGAGACTAGACGTCTGGGATCAGGGTGCAGGCATGGTCAGGTTCTGGTAAGGACTCTCTTCCTGGCTTCTCTCTGTGTCCTCACAGGAAGGAGAGAGAGCCAGCAAGCCCTCTGGTGTCTCTTCTTCTGCAGACACTAATCCCATCATGAGGGCCCCACTACTCTACCACTGAGCTAGTCCCCACCCCACTGGGGCTCTTTGCTTCTTCTTTTTTTTTTTAACATTTTTTTATTGAGTTATAGTCATTTTACAATGTTGTGTCAAATTCCAGTGTAGAGCACAATTTTTCAGTTATACATGAACATACATATATTCATTGTCACATTTTTCTCTGTGAGCTACCACAAGATCTTGTATATATTTCACCATATATTCATTGTCACATTTTTTTCTCTGTGAGCTACCACAAGATCTTGTATATATTTCACTGTGTATACAGTATAATCTTGTTTATCTATTCTGCATATGTCTGTCATTATCTACAAGTTTTGAGATCCCAGTCTGTCCCTTCCCACCCTCCGCCCTCTTGGCAACCACAAGTTTGTATTCTATATCTGTGAGTCTGTTTCTGTTTTGTATTTATTGGGGCTCTTTGCTTCTTAATGGAGGTACCAGGGATAGAACCTAGGACCTCGTAAATGCTAAGCATGCACTCTGCCACTAAGATGTTTCCCTCCCCACTCTTTGCTTCTTATTATAACATGAATATATACATTGTATATATAAACAGACAGTTATATATACAGTTCTTTTCCCTTACTAGTCTCATAGCCAAAGTCAGGTGTTTGCATTGACAACAGTCTCCATCTTCTGACCTTCTACTGATGAAAAGCAAAAGCAAAAATAACCATCAAAATGAACTGCCTTTATCCTTTTCAGAGGAAATTATTTTATTTCAAGAAAAAGAGGGCTTAGCTCTTTATCTCCATTATCCCATCAAATCATTTGCATGTCCATACCTGAGAAAAAGGAACGGAGAGAGAATGAACTGGGGTATTAAACACCTGTCTTTACTTGGCTTGATTTTTGTCCTTTCAGGTATCAATCATGGAGATCTTAACGACCACAACATTTTAATAGAGTCCAGCAAGTCAGCCTGTGGAGATGCTGTATACCAAGTGTCTGGGATTTTAGATTTTGATGACATGAGCTATGGCTACTATGTGTTTGAAGTGGCAATCACCATCATGTACATGATGATTGAAAGCAAGACTCCTATACAAGTAGGAGGTCATGTCCTCGCAGGCTTTGAAAGTGTAATCCCACTGACACCTGCGGAGAAGGGTGCTTTGTTTCTACTTGTCTGCAGTCGTTTTTGTCAGTCACTTGTCCTGGCTGCATACTCTTGCCACTTATACCCAGAGAACGAAGAATATCTCATGATTACTGCAAAAACCGGGTGGAGGCATTTACAGCAGATGTTTGACATGGGCCAGAAAGCTGTAGAAGAAATCTGGTTTGAAACTGCCAAGTCCTACGAACCTGGGATCTCCATGTGACCAGATAAAAATTCACATTAATGTGGGTAATTAAAAACCTACAGGACCAAGTCTAATTCTGTAAAAAAAAAAAACCTGCACAGTTAAACATGAATTGATGGAGCAGATCAATGCACATGAAACCACTAAGGCCTTCTAGCAATTTCACGACCATTGGTTAAACCTAAGAAAGTTCTCCGGGAGCAAGCCTGTCTTTCCATGGGTCCCACTCATCTTGGTCTGAAACATGCAGTGATGTTTTGAATCAGACGGTCTCTCAAGGTCTATTCTAGCCCCAAGATCAATGATTTTTTTTTAAACTTGAAAGGCATACATACATATAGATATATTCACATACTTTAAATAATTGGATGTAACATACAACCCTGGTTAACATATCACCAGTTCTATGACACCTTCTCCCATCTCTTTGTTCCTGCAATCCCATTGCATCCCGTCTTCTTTATGGCACCTCGCTTGGTAAAATGGATTATGGCCGTGCAATCTGCTAGTCTAGGAGCTATCTGAGGGTAGAAACTATGTTAAAACTTTTTTTTTTTGTCTCTCCCTTATCCCTTCTTACGCCTGGTGTAGTGCATTTCCCACCGTCTTTAAAAATACTTGCAGAATGAATGTATGCTAGAAGAAAGGCTGGAGAAGATAAGACACACACTAAGATGCCTTAGGGGGAAACCCAGATGGTATTCATAAGAAAAGGTTTTAAGTCATTTTCAGAGGGCAATTGAAACTGGAACTCCAGAGAGACATGCCAGAACATACTGGAACACAAGGATGCAAGTAAGACAAGGCAAGGCCACTGACTCCTGAGGTACCTAAATAGTTTTCACAGTGATACCAAGAAAGTCTCAAAGATATTTGTAAATTCTCTACCATTTATATTATTTTTTTCATGTGAATATGTGATACTGGTGAACTGTAGCTCGCATATACTTGACTGTCATCACACCACTGTATTTCCTTCACTGACTTCTGTTCATGTCTCCCTTGGTATGATTTTAGTAAACAGCTGTTTACTTAGTCTTGTTTTAACTATCCATTCAGGGCAGATGACTCAGGTCTAGAACCCTGGTCATTCTTACTTGCTTAAAAAATTGAAGGAATTTGCTCCAAGAGAGCCAGGGCCCCACACTGCTTCCTTCTCCTCCCTCTTCTCCCAGGCCTGCCGTGGGCTCACACACACACCTGTGTCAGGAGGCTCACATGAGGTCATCACCGGAAAGCACTTAACGTTTCTCAAATTTAAGAGATTGTGATTTTTATCTGGCTTGATCATTCAGGAAATTGGGGACCAGAAAAATAAGCTGAAACTTATACTTCACTCCCAAACCAGTGTTCCTTTTCTTACACCATGAACTACAGATTTCCCGCTTGCTTGTTCCTCCTGCTAACTCGGATTCGCTTTCACGGAATTCCTATTGCAGTATATTGACCACTATTTCAATATTTAAATACATGCTGTCTTGCTATTGATATTTCACTACTGGGTGTTTGCCCTAGCTTATCTCCAATAAATCAGTTCCATGTAGCCTGTAAACTCTTCGGTGGCATAAATTGAATAGTTTATTTCATATTATTTTCAGAACCTAGCTGTTTGCCGGGCCTCTAGCACACCTTTAATAAACATCCGTCCGATGAACTGTTAAAATGGACACACGTCTACAAGGGCCAGCCTTTGGTTCCTTCAACCAGAGAGGAGAAAACCCAGTTCTAGATTTGAAATCAATTCCACATGTCCGGCAAAGACTATTCTTGTGTGTATCTTTTTCTGTCCAGTTTTTAATCCTGTCTAGACTGCAACAGAACTTTACTTTCTGGTCCTCTTATCCTTAATCTCTCCAGCCTACATCCATCACATTAGGGACAGATAAAAATTCTAGTTACAATATATTGCTGTGTGACAATTTAACCAAAAACCCAGTGGCTTAAAAGCTCATTTTTTTATCTTATGGATTCTGCATGCCATGAATTCAGACAGGCCTTGGGATACCTTGTCTCTGCTCCACAATGCTTGGGGCCTCAGCTGGGAAGACATGAATGCTGGGGGAGATATGATGGTTGGGGGAAACTGAGTGACTGGGGACTAGAATCATCTGGAGGCATCCTCACTCACAAATCTGGCAGGTCATGCTGGAACCTCATCTGGGCTGATGGTGCAACATCTCTCTACTTGGTCTCTGCTCCCTCACCATAGGGTCCCAGATTCCAAGAACCATCATCCCAAGAGAACAAGACAGATATATACCATCATTTATGACCTGTCTTTGGAAGTCATATGATGTTACTTCCATTGCAGTCACAGGCCCACCCAGATTTAGGGCAAGGGGACACAGAATCTCTAAATGGGAGCATCCATGCCACACTGTAGGAGGAACATGTGGGATAGGAGATGAGGCTTCATCATCCTGAAATATCACTTTAATCCCCTTTTCTCATTTCCTACAGAAAAAAATTCTGGCACTGAAGGCATTCTACGATTTAGCCTAAATCCCTTTCCTCCTTTACTCTGGCCAGACTGAACTACTCTGTCACCCAAACTTGTCAAACTCATTCTTATTTCTGCCCTTTTATCTCAACTGAGCCCTCTTCTTTTGACCTAAGAAATTCTCCCTCTCACTTATAATTCTTAATGCTTAATTCTGCAGAGTAAACAAAGGTGGCAGAGATCCTCAGAGATTCCATAGGCTACCTGCTACCTAAAGATGCTTCAGGGCACCACTTGTCTGGGTGTGGCCCTTGCCATTTCACCTTGGCTCACCTCCCTGTGTGCCTGGGAAGCAGAAATGACAGGAGAGACCTCAAGACACAACTCATCCCTAGGTTACCTCCTTTTAAAAGCTGGGATCCCTCAATAATAATTTTTTGCCCGACATGAAGAGGACAAAGTCCCTGCCCTGTGGAGCTCTTCTTGGCGGACACCATATGCACATGACTACACATTAACCCAGACCTACTCAACCATCCAGCTCGAAGAAACTTAAAACATGAATAGTAGATAGTTTACATAGGGACTGAAGCCAGATGAGAAAAACTGTGGAAAGGAGAGATGGACAATGAACACGTAAACTAGTAAACATGATAATTTCTATATAGAAGATAACGTGTGTGTGTGTGTGTGTGTGTGTGTGTGTGTGTGTGTGTGTGTGTGGTGTGTGTGTGTGTGTGTGTGTGTGTGTGTGTGTGTGTGTGTGTGTGTGGTGATGGTAGGGTATTGCTTTCACTAGATTGGTCAGGGGAATCCTTTCTGAAAAGGTGAAAAGCAGAGGAGGAGACCAAAGTAAAAGTTCTCCCAAAGACGTAAACCCCACCATAATTTGCTTTATATGTCCAAAAGTGTGTGTATCAGCAATAAAAGTGGAGGACAAATTCAGGAAGGGAGATGATACGAAGAGGCAAGTCGAAGGGTAACGTGTGACGTGCTTGGGACCATTCTGAGAACAGGGCAGGAAAAGTTAGCAACTGACAGAAGCTCCCACACCATTGCTCTCCTGGGCCTATGACTTAGCGCTGAAAAGAAAGTGAAAGTGAAAGTGAAAACAGAGCGCAAAGCGTGGGAAAGGGACATTAGCTATACTCCTACTTCCTCCTTGGCCGGGGTGCTCCTGCCCTCCTCCCCAGGCTATGGTGCCCCCTCCCCGGGCTGCGGACCCCTGCCAGAGCCGTCGCACCCTACCCCCCCAGCTCCCACGAGGGCACCTGGCTCTCGCCCCGCCCCCCGGAAGGACTTCCGCGTCCTTGGCGGCCCCGCCCCCGGTGGTTCTGCGCACGCGCGGGGGCCATATTAGCAGCGGAGCCTCGCGCAGCGGCGGTGGGTTCCGCGAAGAAAGGCGCTCGGTTTGGGTCTGGACTCTTCAGCGTCTTCCTTCCGGTGAGCGTTCCC